GAATGTCGCGGACGACGACGTCCTTTCAACGCCGTCGTCGAAGCCGTCTTCGGAAATGCAGCGTAAGGCGAGGTTACTGTCGCACGACTGGGCGTTCAACGGACTCGACGAGGGCTTTCTGAACCTCGCATACGCGAAGTGCTTCGAAATACAGGAAACGCTGGACGCCGATCTGCAGATGGTCTCCAAGCGATATTGCGGTGACTCCACGGAAACCGTCAAATTCTCGTACTGGACAATAATCTACGGCAGTTCGGTGGCCGAAAACTCGTCACTGTGTTTCCTATCGACCCATCTGATCATGTCCACTGTGAAGAGCACGGTTTGCGTTATCCTGGACGAAATGAAGAGTCGAAGCCGTCTAAGCGATCACAGGGTCTTTTGGTTAGAAAAGGCTTACGCTGATCTCTGTGCGTCTGACGAATACCACGTTGAAGGTCCAAATCCAGCAATGGCCATCAGCATCTTCGGTGGCAAGGCGTTCTGGAAAACTCCGGCCGCTGTGCCGTCCTCACAAACGCCCGACACGGGCAGCATCTCGCCCCATCGACTTCGCTCCCACTCGAAAAGTATTTCACGGAATAGCGGAGCATCTCAGGTAAATAAGCTCAGTATTTCTTCATTATTCCTGCAGAACTCGGTAAAGAAATCCATACTGTGTAAGGATTTCATCAGTAGTGCTGGATGATTCAATGTTTCTCGTTTGTTTTCATAATATCTGTGAAAAAGCATTCCCAGTGGTCTACAATCCTTCTCTCTACTCTTGAGGTCGTACAGCACTATTTTTCAGGGTAACTGCCGTGAGCAATGCCTTGAGCAGGGAAGATTTTGTCCGTTCCATGCGCAGACCCTTCAAGGCGCTTTTATTTTTCATATTAATCTTTCCATTCACCATTAGGGAGGTTCTACCTCTGACCGTTGCTCGACCACAAGCGATGTCTTGATTTTCCCTGGCAATGTTTGTCGATTCTTCTCGTTTGGCCAAATCGCTTTAGCTTATGCTACCCTGATCTGCCAATTGATGCAGGTTCCGTGCATAACTTGAACTTTATGGTGTTATGAATCAGTCCTGTCTGGAGTCTCTTTTGATTTTCGTCGTTTAGCACATTCTCCAGGGCCAGCAATATACCTCACCAAAAATAAAGCCAGGTATTATGGGTTTGCTAGCAAGCGGCTAGTTTTCAATATCGCCGGTAAGAATGACATTCACCGGTCATTTCTGAGAATTTACAATGGAGACAAGGCCTGCTTCGCGGCCCCTTATACTACTAGAAGCAAGGGAACAACGTTCTATCATATGAATCTAAAATGATAAGAGAACAGTAGCACATGTTTTTCCCTTTATCCGTGTTTTTAAATCGTATGTGAACATTTACAGAGCTGAAGTTCATGCAGAAGTACTGTGTTATTGTTTGTCAGCTTCTTGCCCTCCAAATCTTGTCAAATTGCCCATTATTAGGATTTGTAGATCTTCTAACACTTGTCCTTCAGCAGCACTAACATATTTTCATTATTTGGCATTAACCCATCGAGGCGTAGTAATTCTCATGGTGACAGCTTCTTTAATCTCTGAACGTAGCAACAGTTTGAGCTGCAGAGGGGTCAGGCTGATGGCAATGATTGGTGGTCAGCTTTTCTCAAAAACCGACATTCCAGCGCTTCTACCAGGCCAAAAGCCAGCCTCCACGTTCGAAGCTGATTCGCCCAAGGCGCACGGAAGAGGTCTTCAAGTTCTGCAGATCCATGGAGTCATTGACAGTAAGACCAACGCGACGAAAAAAGCCTTCTCTCCGTATCGTATGTTGATCATTGAATGTCTGTCTACATGTATCATTCTAGTTCCAAAATAAACCCTCACTTCACTACTACCCGCGTTGCATCAGTACAACAGATCTATTAATATCATGTCTTCGTTTATGATTGATATATGCCCATTTACTTCCCGTTAAACTTCTATTCCACTCATTACCAGCGAGCATCGTAAATTCACGCTGGAAACCTTTTGAACGATTTTTCCTAATGAATGGAAATGTCTATGTCATCGGCAAGCTGCAATTGTTTACTATTCATAATCGCGTACTAAAGCAAATATGGTTTTTCTTCAGGTACTGGAGGGTAAGGATAATCTTTTCTAGGACTACGGTCTTGAGGAAAGTGACATCACCAGCATTTCTAAAAGGACAGTTTGTAGTTTCTTGTTGCTTTCCTCATGAACGTAGTTTACTGTTTGACCTATTTGTTTCCTTCGGTGAAACAGGAGATTATCCCTCCTCTCAGAATTTGAGGCCATCACCGTGCAGTTGTCAATTCTGATTTAAAGCGATTGAAATTGAGCTAAAAATAGACTACGATCGTTTAAAGATGTGAATATGTGACAGCTTATGTCATGAACATATCTATTATTATTACAGAATTCATTAGAACTGCGCAGTTAACGGGTGATTAGTCTGCACGACGTTTTTTGCTGACTGAACCGAAGGACATTTGAGCGTAAATCCCTCATTTTCACTCATAAAACTGAGGGTACGTACGTTTTAAAGCTCAGGTTTCGGCCTGTCTAACGCTTTCTAAGACCTCTAAGAAATTTTATGGAATGTACTTTTATTTTTGAATTATGTTTTGTCTCATGCCTTTCGGAGCAAACGGTAATACGCTGTGTGTGAAGTTCATTTTGGTGCAAGGTTAGTTTCGTCCTGCATCCTCACTACTTCACAATTCTACTGGTTTCCCGTTGTAGCCGTTATCTCGGATCGTTGTAGTTGCATGTTTCCTGCGTGATTCTTCCACTTCTGCTCGTTAAACTCTTCAATCCTCGATTTTCGCATCCTTTCTTGACTGTGGTTACTCAAGTACTAGCACCTTTACCTCTGTTATTAAAACTATATACATTTCTTTGGATTTTCCTACGCGTGCTTCATTGATTTCTGCCGTAGGTGACCCGGACCTACTGTACGTACGGAACAGTGAAGATGGAGAACAAGCGGCCGTCGCTGAGGCCGGTTATCGCTGAGGAACGGTCGGAAAGTACGGCGTCTCTTCCCTCGTCTCCTCAAATGCCTTCAGTTTGTCTGGAAATGCGCGAAAGTCGTGGATCGTTGACGACTAAGGGTTCGCCGCTCACCGGCTACAAGTTGGAACTCAGCACGAGTGACATTCAAGACCGATCGTTGAACTTCGACGAGTTCATAGAGTTGTTCAAGGTGTTCAACATTCGCATGCGCAAAGACCTGAGAGATATTTTTAACGAGCTGCACTCGAAGCAGAAGGAGACCTCGATCCTGTCGGTCACTGAACCTCATCACAGTTCGCTTAAACAGTCGCCGGGGGCGGAAAATGTTCAGCTGGAAATTTTCAAGCCTGAAAACGTGTCTACCGATCCTGCTGTCAGTAAGGAGCTTTGAGTCAATTAATCGATTAATCGATTCAGGCCACTTCATATGCTCTATTATGTACAACAAATACATGAGTCCGTTCTCGACACTTGTGTGACAGTAAAATTAAACTCGTTATTAATTCCGGCTTTCAAAGAGAATAAAAATCGAGAAAACGCATGGAGATGTCATTCTTTCTTCGATTTCTGAGGCAAATTTTTTTTCACATAATTTATGGGGCCTCGCCTATCTTCATCAGTCAACAGTGACATAGGTTTTCTAAGGCTATGCTTACAGCTTGGCCATGTCTCTTCCTAGACCACGAATGCATGCTGGAGCCGACGCAGTCTTTCGTGCGTTAGAAAAGCAGGGTACTGAAAAGCAATATATTCCAATTCCACGATAAGTACAGTATACTCATGCTGCAGTAGGAGTATTCAGCTGTTTGTCGGACCAGTGGGAATCACGGTTTGTAATGGAGATTGCCGTGAGACTTCATATCGACCGAGCTTTCTGCTGCAGGTCTTGCTTCGTCAGTGCTTGGCGAAATGAAACGCGATGGAAAATTTTCAATCAACAGCAAATGGCCCACTGGTTTTCGATTTGTTGACAAAATCGTGCTGTTGGGGACGAAAGCAGCAGAAGCTGAAGCGATGCAGTGTGAGCCAGAGTTAGCAAGTTGGATTTCAGATAAATGAGGCAATAACGAAGATGAGGAGAAACGAATTCGCGCAACCAGCTACAGTTACGGGATAGTAATGGCGAAATAGTGGACGTCACAGAGTATGCCTACTTGGAAGAGCTAACCAAGTCAAACTACTCCTCTGCTCCAGAACTCAGTAGGGGGCGTCGTTCGGTTTGAGGTACATGCTAAAAACTGACATTCTATAACTCAGAAAGCTGCCAACTGCGGTTAGACCCACGTCGCTTGAAAGCAGCACTGTCAGCAGCTTTATATGGCCGTGAGACCTGCGTAATTACGACCCCGTTAAGAATACAGCAGGGCACTGTGAAAAGGAGGTCTTGAGTTTTTTTCTGTCAGAGACAATCTCTGAGATGAAGAAATAAGAAGATATATGAGAATGCAGGACAAGACATATCGCATAGGCAGT